AAATAGGAAGATTCAGGAGAGAGAGAAGGAGAAAGAGAGGTGGACATCAAGGGACAGCCACCTAGCTACGCAGCAAGCCATGGAGTAAGAAGTAAAGAATGTTACACAGAATAGCGATAAAAGTCCTGAGACAAAAGGTAGATGGGGTTATTTAAGAAAAGGTGAATAGAAACAAGTTTAGCTAAGGCTGGGCATTTATCAGAAAGAATAAAACTCTGTGTATTTATTTGGGAGCTGGGTGGCAGGCCCACAAAGAGCAGAGCCAAAAGAGTAAAAAACTACCAACTACAGTTTCCCATCCCAAGTATTCTAGCACAAGCCACCTGCTTTCTCCACATTGGCCTGCTGTCTCCAGTTTCCATGTAATCATGCTCCATCATCCCACTAGTCTCCTGCTACCTTCTGGACGTAGCTTTGGTTGTTTCAACACTGGTGAAGACAAGGTTCGGTTCTTTTTCATGTAACTATTTGCCATTCTCATCTTTTTCTCTATCATATAAATTAGAGGCCCACCTTGCCAACTTCTATCTATACAAATACTTGAAGTTTGAATGGCATTGTACTGAATCTACAGTTCACTGCACAGAGAACGTTAATCTTTACAACATCGTTCTAATGCCTGTACCTGGTAATAGTCACTCTATTCATTTAGGTTGTCTGAAATATTCCTTGATAGTTTGTAATTTTTCCCATCACTTTCTTATATACTTTTTCAGATTCATTGCTTAGTGAGTTACATATTTTTATGCCAATGTCAGATATTTTTAGCTATGATTTTTCTTTTTCCTTTTTAAAAATCAGAATGCAATTGATTGTGAGTATAAAATTGTTAAATTTTCTTATTAATTCTAATAATTCATCTGTGGGGTTTTATCAATGTTCTATCTATGTATTGATGACTATATCATTTGGGAAAATGAGTTCTGACATTTTCACCCTAAGGAACACCACACCTTCCTCTTTCTTAGTTTTTGGCTGTGACCAAGATTCTATCCTGAGGGATCAGCCTTGAACTGGTACCTTTGCCTAAGTGTTAGAGGGTGTGAAAAACACTAACAAGAAACAGCAGAAAGTTATTCCTTTCAGACATGGGCAACTGTTCATGGAAATGAGTTGGTCTTCTATTCCCAACTTTCTAAGACATTTCCCCCCTGAATTAAATATATAGAATTTTATCAAATATTTTTCTCATTGTCTTGGATTAAACATATTTTCTCTTTTCATATTACTATGGTGAATTGCATCAGTATTTGAACAGAATCTGATTTTGAATTACTGCAACAAATAGGACTTCTTACCTCTTACACTTTGAAATTTATTTTACACATTGCTAGATTTGAATAGCAAGTGCATTAGGATCATTAATAAAATTAGTTACAACTTTTCTTTCTTGTACGATTGTTGTCAAGTTTTGACATCAAGATTACAGTGGCCCGAGCGAGTGGGGAACTGTTGCCATTCCTACTGGACTACCCAAGAGAGGGTGCCAGCTCAATGTTATTTTTCGCTGTACTTGGTGGAATTCCTGGTGAGAAGCAACCAGTCTGGTTTTACCACTGTGTAAAACGATTTCACTTTTTAAATGACTGAGCCATTTTTTTAAAAAAAATAAATAGTTGTAGGATTGTTTAGGTTGATTATGTATATAGAATTTTTATATAAAACATAATTTCTAAAATTAGTCAATTATAATATCACATATATTACAATAACATTCATTTAATCCAATTTTGCTTTCAATTACCTAGTTTTTAAAATAAAAAGGTTTAGTATTTACTTATGTATATGTGTAAGGCCACACAAGAAAGCCAGAGGAGGGTGCTAAATCTCTTGGATCTGTGACAACGTGGTTGTGAGCTGGGATCTATCTCTGGTCCTTTGCAAGAGAGGAACCCACCCTTCACTGTGAAGCCATCTTTCTAGCCCCCTACATTTTTATGTTCCCTCAGCTGCCTGAGGTTATAATTCCACTGTCTGTTGATTTCCACTGCTGCTATTGTGGGGTCAGCTAGAGGGGTTTTCTTCCTTTCTTATAAACACAATTTATTAAAGGGTGTTTTTGAAGTTTTTTGTCCTCCATGTCTTACAGTAATGTATACACGTGGTCTTCTTCCCATTTGACATGTCGTGTCAGTATTACTTGGGTACCATGAGCCTTTGGCTTAGCTTTCCATTTGGATCATTCTCAACGTTAAGTCCTTGACTACTGGCCCTGTCCCTCCGTTTGGGGAATTCTAGTCAGGTGTATGGTAGACTTTCCCACCCTCATCTCTGTGCTTTGCAACTCCATGTTCTTTTGGTTTTCCTATGCTATATTCTTTATACTCTTAAAGTTCAGTTTTCTAATTCATTAGTTTTTCTTAAAAAAAGATTTATTTATTATGTACACAGTGTCCTGCCTGCATGTCTGCAGGCCAGAAGAGGGCGCTAGACTTCATTACAGATGTTTGTGAGCCACCATGAGGTTGCTGGGAAGTGAACTCAGGACCTTTGGAAGCACAGGCAGTACTTTTAGCCACTGAACCATCTCTCCAGCCCTAATTCATTAGTTTTTTTTTTTTCAACAATGTCAAATGTGATATTAAACTTTACCAAGGAAATTTAATTTCTATTTTTATTTATATAAATGTGCCTTAGCATTTCTTCAAATTTTCTTGTTCTTTACTGTATTTCCATCTTTTCTATCTCTTCTGGAATTTAACAAACATTCTGGATTTCATAATTCAAACAGCAGAATTCTGATTTTACTTGGTCCTGTGTTCAGCCTTTTTTTCTTTTATATAAAGTGTTTTTTTAAATTGTATGTTGGTTATTTTCTTGGGGATGTTATTTTATTTTGAGGTTTGTTTAATTTTTGACTTTTTTTTTTTCTGGTATTCCTATCAACTGTAGCTTGATGCTGATGTCCTGGTTTTCTGTTTATGTTAGTCTCGTTTGATCTTTTTATCATAAAAACAAAATGGTTTCAGTTGTATATGCCAGATTTGGGGCTTTAACTATTGCTTATTGTTTTCATGAAAGTCTACTTTTTTTTTACTTTATTGATCATATTTTTAATTCTTAAAGTTACTTAATCAACAACCACTTGTTTTTCATAGCTCTTTTTACTTCCTACAATTAATTACAGGTCTTTCTGCCGACTGTCCTACACTTGCACCTCTGCTTCTCTTTGCCTTGAGTGACACGGATTGCCTCCATGTCAGGCCTCTCAGTGCTCACGGCTGCTCACAGATTTGCACAATGGGCTGGCCAACTCAAGTGAGGTGTTGATTTCCACATCAGAACACTGATGGAGTTTTCTAGAACACCCACCTATGCCTTGTGGGGTGTGAAGGGTGCAAGAGGAGAGGGTATGTTGGCTGGAACTTCACAAGAGAAGAGGTGAGCTGGGGGACCAGAACCTCGTTTTGCTCCCTAACAAGGTGGGAGATGGGCAGAATTCTTGGTTAGTCATCTTACTGAGAAAGTTGCCCCTTTTCCAGCACTGAATTTTGCCCACTCCAAATCAGACACCATCTTAAGAGTCTATTTTGTTTCTCTTTAGAAGGAGAGAAAGAGAGCTAGTCAACTGTTCATCTCTTAAGCAAATATTACTGTGCTTTTTTTTTTTTTTTTAGCTTTAAAAAAGGAAAACCAAATGGAAAAAATCTGTGTACACACTAGCTAGGATGTGGACTTAGGGTGACGGGTGGAATGGCCCAGCGGTACAGACAGTCCATGCCTGTTCTCCTGGGCTCCCAAGGCTCTTCCCCACACCGGCACATACTCTTTGTTGTTCCATTTTCTGTCTGAATAATAATTTGACTGCTCAGGGCTGTTTTTCAGTAGGGGCCCATCTTTCTGTTCGCCAGATGTCACTCTTTCCTGTACTAGGGCTGCTTCTCGTTTAGTCCCATTCCTACAGAGTCCTACTCTCTGAGTGAGGATTCCAAATGGGAGAGGAGGAAGTACTTAGGATTGATCTGCCACCGGAGCAAGCATTCTCCCAACTTATAAAAGGCAGACGCATACCATGTGTTTTCATACGTGAATATACAGTAACATATTTAATATCCTAATACTATGAAATAGAGGCTTATTAAACAGAGAGCTTCTCACAGAAGAATTACAGAGACTCCTCACTGGTGCCCACGCTCCCAGAAAGCCCTGTGCTCGAGTGCCATCACTCCCCCAATTGACCTTTGTCTATCAGCCCATGAATTTTATGGAGCTTCCCAGCACACTGTGTGGACATCTTCTCTCCCAAACTCTCCTGCCCTGCCGATGTCCAGCAGAGGAGCCTCAGTTCCACAGACAGCTCTACCAGCTCAGTGATTTTTTTTATCTTCCCACAGAGCTTTGTAACTAGCAAAGGTTGTTCTGTTCCCAGCCCACTGGCTGCTCGTGAACCCGACAAAGCCTCGACTTTATGAGTTTGCTCTTAGGACACAAACAGGGCACAGCTTATGCATTTTTAATGCCCCAGACAACGTTAATACCAATTTGTAGGGCCAAGGAAGAGAATTCTTCTCTACAGAATGTTCCCTCTCTGATGACAGAGCTCATGAACTTCATTAAACACTGATTCAATAAGGGAACCACTTGCTGTCCAGCCCCAGCTGCCTATTTCTGGAAGAAGGCACAGCATATTTAGCAAGTATGAGTTTCCTTCATAGAGCCTATTCCATTTGGTGTGAAGCCTTCTGGATTTTCTTTTAATGTAGGCATCTCGTTACTTGCCTTTTAGTTTGTTTCCTTCACATATACTAGGGACCCATGGAGAACGGTGCTCTTTTCTTCTGGAAGCCCTCTGACATACACTACTCTATGCTTTTGGCCTCCTCCCCTTAAATATCCACATTCAGGTCATCAAGAACCTTATCACACATGTAGGCGGTACCTGAACAAAAGGCTCTCTCTCTTTTTCTCACTTGATTTTGTTTCCCGGCGACTTCTTTGAAACCTACTGCTCATCTTTCCCTCCCCCCTCTCCACAGAAAGCTTGAGAGAGACGTTCTTACTTGGATTATTGTGTCCAGAGGATACAAGTTGAGAGTCCTGAAAAAAAAAACCCAAGAAATATCAATTAATTGTCTAATTTTCATTTTCCAAACCAAAGATGAATGCATGATATTATTAGTCACTGTATAGAACCAAGTCTCCACTCAAAACTCCACTCAAAACTACCAGCCGCTGTCAGGAGAAACCTTTTCAAGAGTGTGCTTGTTAAGAAGTTCTGGGAGTGCAGCTGACAATTGCAGTCATTTTTCATTATTGAATTTTTTGTTATGCTTAATTGAGGATGTCATTCACATCATACAAAACAAACATTTGGAAACAAAACATTCTGTGGCTTATGGTATTTTCATGGTGTGGGGCCACTGCCACCTCTATGTAGGTGGCATTCCATCACTCAAACATCAAGTCCCTTACCCTTTATTCAAGCAGGATCTCCCACATCCTCCTTTCCCTGTCCCCTCGGCCCCTAGTGACATGCCCATTTCCAATCTGTGTTTTCAGACTTTCCCGTTCTGGTATCTCATATACACAGAATCATATAACCTGTGACCTTTGAGTCTGGCTTCTCCAGTTAGAATGCTGCACTGGAAGTTGCTTCTTGTTGGAGTTGGTATCTCTTCCACCCCCTCTCTCCCATCTTCCTTCCTTCTTCTCCTCTTTGGCAAGGTCTCACTATGCAATCCACGATGGCCTGGAACTCATAACCCTCCTGCTTCAGGCTTCCAAGTGCTAGGATTTTAGGTATGTGCCATGGTTCGTTTTTTTATGGGCAAATACTATTGGCTATATGAGATGATATTTTATGCATGCACCTGCTGATAAGCGTACAGTGTCTATACTCTGTGAGCCATGCTGCTGTTGACACGCATATGCTGGGACATACACAGCTCCTGTTTGAAATCCTTTTCTGTACATACCTAGAGGTAGAATTTGGGGTCTTATGAAACTCTTTGTAAACTTTTTGAGAAGCACAAACTGTTTTCCATGGTGGCAGAACCATTCCATTCCTACCAGAAATGGATAAAGCCTCCAATCTCTCAACATTCTTGCCAGCACTTGCTATTTTTCATTGATTTTTTTTTTTTGAATCATCTTTGTATGGGCAGAGTGGTATCTCATTGTACTTTTTATTTGTATTTACCTAAAAACTAAAGATGTTAGGCATTTCTCCATATAGCTGATGGCTATTTTTTTTGAGACAGGTTTCTCTGTGTAGCTTTGGAGCCTGTCCTGGAACTCACTCTGTAGATCAGGCTGGCCTCTAACTCACAAAGATCCGTCTGTCTCTGTCTCCTGAGTGCTGGGATTAAAGGCCATGTGCCACCACTGCCCAGCTGGCTATTTTCATTTTTGAAGAAATACCTATTCAAGTAGTTTATCATTTCATGTAGCTATCTACCTTTGTGTTACTGAGTTAAAAGAGTTCCTCACACAGTTGATACTACGCCCTAACTAGATAGATGGTCTGCCAATCATCTCCCCCATATTCTAGTCTTTTTCCTACAGCTGATAAAGTCCTCTGATACACAAAGCTTTCACATTTTTCTATTTAATTTTTATTTTGTTGTTCATACTTTGGAGGTTGCATCTTAGAATCTATCAGGGAACCTAAGGTTATAGTTTTGGTCTATGAAATTTATGACTTTACTTGCCAGATTTGGTCACTGATACATTAATGTCTTCGAACCTAACTCATTTACCTCTGAATGTGCCCTACTTCTAATACCTCTACAGACAAGGGCTGCCAGCCCCATCTTGACTGGACACACTCTACTGAGCAACTGTGGTCATCTCGTTGTGATGGACACAAAGGTTATTATGCATAAGCATTTGCCTGCAAGGGCACAAACCCTTGCAGTATTACTGTGTATATTAGATTTAGCTACTACTCAGGTAAATAGAGATGGAATCTGATTATATTTGTATTTAAATGAAATACGGACATCTCTCTTGAAAATGTAAATTTTCTTTCTTTGCAAAATTGTTTTTTAACATAAAATATAAGGATGAGTTATAGAAGAATGAACTGAGATGGTAAGAGTGTAAATAAAATGAATGTGTAATATCACATAAAATCTAAAACTATATCATTCTGATATGTGCAATAAAAAATCTAGTGAAATGGAATTAACTACTAATATAAGAGTTGGTGTGTTTCTACAGAATTTTGCTCTAGGAAGGCAGTTGCTATCAGGCAGGGGAATCACTTAATAGGACCAGTGGCATTTAAACCCAAGTAATAATGTCTATTTTAGAAAGGAACCCTTCTGGAATAGTACAAAATGAGCCAGGCTGTTGGGTGGCTGTGTAGCCTGAGTTCAGAAGCCCAAGGAACCTTTCTAAGTAATAATGGGCTATTTGCCTTCAGAAGAGGAACAAGTTTAGTTCTTACTCTGAAACTCAGTTTTTGGAAAACTATTTTGGGAAGATGAAATAAATAAACTAGCCCCCCCTTTGTTTTTAAATTTGCTTTTTCCAGACAGGGTTTCTCTGTAGGCCTGGAGCCTGTCCTTGAACTAGCTTTGTAGACCAGGCTGGCCTGGAACTCATAGAGATCCACCTGCCTCTGCCTTCCTAGTGCTGGGATTAAAGGCCTGCACCACCACCTGGCTAAATAAACCACTCTTGAAGTGATGGGCCGAAAACTAATCTCAAAATGACTTTGGCCTACATTGGGTAGATTCTGCAATTAAAAAAAAAAAAAAGTTCTCAGTTAAAGACTCCAGATGGGTTGGTGTGCTTTTCTTTTCTAATTAATTTGGAGTCTATATAGGGACACAAGTTTGTTTTAGCTTTAATTTGTAGAAAACATTTTGAGCCCCAGTCAGTCAGCTTCTCTGTGCCATGTGTAGGCTGTGCCTCTAGGCGGAGGAGACTCGCCATCAATGGACAAGGATGGTAACTGGCATGGATTTAAGCACTCAGCTTGTTCTTCTAAAAACAGAGCAGGGAGGCCTTTTCTGGTTGTCTGCCCACACTAATGGGAGTAGAACGTTTGTTTGCTGATGGACCCTGCAACTTGTATAATAGGTATTGGCAGCTACCTGTGAGGAGGAGCTCACAGCTGACCCGAATCTTCACTCCTACATCCCAGAAGATCAAATTTTAGTTGAAAAACCCCTCTGATTAATGACTTCCTACTTCATTTTGCATGGGAAGAGAAAGAGAAGCAGAATACACTCAACATAATTGCTAGTAAAAACATCACTACAGACGTCTTTTATAGAAAAGATGCAAATAAACCAAATAAACTCGGATTTTGCTCCTACTGTTCTGATGTCTTCTGGATGGTGCACTGACTACCAGATATTAGCTCAGAATATACTAACTCATTAAACTCCAACATTCCCAGATTGCCATTCTCTGGGTAGAAATGAAATTTCATTTTTATTTTCAGTGGTGTGTGTGTGTGTGTGTGTGTGTGTGTGTGTGTGTGTGCGCACGCGTATACAAATTCTGGTTGTCTTTCTCACCTTCTGCCTTATTTGAGGCAGGGTTTCTCTTGTTTGTACTACTGCACTCATATGCCAGGCTGGCTGGCCCACTAGCTTCATCAAGCATCCTTGCTTCCATTTTTTGTCTTGTCCTATGAGTGCTGGGGTTATAGATGCTTGATATTGATCTGGCTTTTTATGTGGGGTCTAGAGATCTAAAATCAGGTCATCAGACTTGCACAGCAAGCACTTTTACCCAGAGCCATCTCTCTGGCCCTTATCATCATTCTTAATGACAGCTGGCCCAGCATGTCATTAGTCTGTTCTTGGAGGCATTAGTTTCTTTAAGAAAACACAGGATGCTGTCTTAACCCTGATAAACTATCTGCCACCCTTCCCTGTCCATTTAGCTATGAAATGCCAGAGGCCTCCACAGCGTGCAGATTGTTCCTTCTTCAGGAAGTCAGTGCCAGGCTGGGTTACAGCCGAAGAAGATAACTGCATCCTCCAAAGGGCCTAGAAGCTGAAGTCCTTTGCATTTTTATATTCATGCCAACTATCCAGACACCAACATGCTTGTAGCTTTCATCTTGAAGGCTGTCTCTTCCTTTGTGATTATCTTCTGTTAGCATACGCCTGGAGAGTGCCAGTCCTTGCCGGGTATTGTCATTTCTACCTCCTTTCTGACCTTTCTCTGTTAGGAGACTTGAAGATTATGCAGGTGATTCCAGTGAGTTGAGGGTGCTGGGAGCATAGGAATGGGTCTAACTCTGCATGAAAGTGATGTCAAGGGGCTGCATGAGTGCCCAATCTGTGCCTTCCATCCAAGTTCCCTCTTAGGACATATATCTCACTGGCTTCTATAATTCAAGAGTGTCCTGCTCGCTAAGACCTTCCTGACACTCAGGGAGGCTTGGTTGCTTCTTTGTTTTATTTTCAAGTGTGAGATTTTAAAAGAAAACTATATTGAGGAATAAATGCATATATGTAAAATATGATTGATAATGTCATAAAAATATCTTACTTTTATGACTGTTTTATAATGCAAGCATAGCTTTGTAATAGTTAATAAAGTTTAGAGAACCAGAAAAAAACAAATTGCTGTTATCTCTTATTGGGAAATTCCTCAAGTTTATGTGTTGTTTCCAGTTTGTCAGGGTCATATGTTAAAGTTAAAGTTAACCAAGTGCATGATGGGGGAATCGGCCCTCCTAAGTTTAAAGAACGACTATAGCTGGGAACTCATTTGGATGTTCCAACACCAGAACTATTATTTGACATCTTGGGAATCCTGAAACCTTTTAAAAGTGGTATTCAACTCATCAATAAAAAAATGTAATTTTGCTCAAGATAGAAATAACTAGGCACACTGGTTTCCCCGACAGCCCTTTGATGAAATACCGTAAGGAATAACATGTTTCATAAAATGTACCATGTCATTCAAATTGAATGAGGCCAAATCAGCTCATGTAACACTATGATGGTCAATTTTAATTATCAACTTGATTGGACTGAGAAGCACCTAAGAGATTAGCGAAAGACATCGATGGCCATGTCTTTGAAGCATTTCCAGGGATATTTAGACCACGAGGCTCTGATTTGTGG